GCTCATTCTGAAGAAAGGAATAGTAAGAGTAAAACTGAATCCAGGGCCCCACCAGAAACCCTTGGCAACTTTGAGGCTAGAACTGATGCTTCTATGAACTTTCAGTATCATTGAGAAGCTCCTGGGATGAGAGCCCACTAGAAGTCACTGGGGCTAGGGAGCTCCCAGTTAGGTGAACAGAAAGACTTGGCACCAAGGAGGTGGAAAAGAGGTAAGGGAAGGAGGCTGTGCTGGCTGAATGCAAATTAAGAATGAGGCTAGAATCTATAGTTGGGTAAAACTCAATAAGGAAACAAATGAATGCCAGGGATGGCTTTCCTGGCAGAGGGCATCAAGGATATGGGGCAGACCGGAAGAGAAGGTATAGACAAGACAGCTACCCAAGACAAAGGGAGAGCAGCAGGCAAAATTCACTTAAGACAGCTGCCAGTTATAAAAATGATAATTACAGACACAGAGACTTTTTAAGGATATTAACTACCTATCAACCTTAGAGGTTTGTGGTGCTTTTGAGGCACAATATAAAAAGTAAAAGCATTAAGCAATTCTTATAATAGTCATTTTCCACTTCTGATAATAAACCAAACATTTTACCCACTTAAAATTCTGTGATCCTACAGAGCCAGTCTAGGAATTAAAAACTCACAATTACCAATGCAGTTTACAAACTGAAAAATAATATACTCCTATGACCTATGTCAAACTGAATTCCACCTATATTTTTAACATTATTCTATTACAAAAACTATATTTTACCTTTGACTTTTTCTCCCCTCTACCAGTATGGTATACTAACTGGGTTTTATCCCTTATTCAACCTATAACCTAACACCAAAAACAAAACCAAGACAACACAGTAAAGTCCAGCCTCATACATTAAATTCAGACCTCTGAGGATGATATTCAACACACCTGGAGTATTCCAAAGACATTTATAGGATGCCCAGCCTGAGCCAGATACAGCCACCACTCCAGAAGAACCACAGTCCTCAACTCCCTTATACCTGTGGAGAGTGAGCTGGCTCTTGCCAACACTGAAAAGCATAGTGGACACCTTGGGTAAAATTGCTAGTAAAAATACCAAGCCACAGTATGAAAGGGTAGCTTCTGTCATAATATCTTCATTAAAAATAATGTCCTGGCTACTGCCTCTGACTATGGCCTGGCCCTGCACAGCCATTATCTTGTAGATCTCTTTTGACTTTTAGTTGTGAAATTCACCTACTGATTGTGTACTCCTCTATCCTACACTTCATTACAACTCAATCTGTATCTAAAACTTCCTTCCACCTCAGAGTCCTGCCCTGGTGAGAAGTTCCTGCCTATTGTCCTGTCCCTGCCACCTGCCTTTACCCCCAGTGATAATCCTGCCAGAGGGCTGAATCTCAACTATGATGGAAGTACCAAAAGCACATTTGAAGATTAGTCCAGAAAATAAATAGGCCTGAATTTATTCTAACATGACAAAATACTTTTGCTCAAACTATTTCCAATAAAATACAAGGCTTTAAAAAGAAAAAGATTTTCATATTTTCAACTCTTTCCATGTTCATAGTTCAAACAACATGTAATACAACTTAGTTTCAGTATAGCAAGAGAAAACCACACTCTAGAGTTTGTTTTAATAGAAATTTATCTGTATGTGCAAAAGTTTAATTTACATATATATTTCATAGATGGAGGCATTTTAAAAAGATTACTTAGCAAATTAATCATGTGACCACAATTATAACATATTTATCTAAAAGAATAAGCCACATGCAGACAAATAAAAGCCAGTCAATACTATTGCTAAAATAATGATACATCATTCATATTTTTAAAAAAATAGACGCAAAAGGGAATCAGCATTTTTAGTTCCAATTAAATTATAACATCTGAATGAATTTCTCCCCAAAATATTGCATACGCCTTAGATTTTTTTTTCCTAGCGTACTTATTAGTGAAGTTCAATAATCCAGTGATTAAATTAGCTATAATTAAAATTAAATAGCTCTCCAGTGCTTTTCCACCTTAGCACCTCAGTTACCTGCTACCATTCTTCAGTTTAACGGATTAATGGAAGTTAGCCTAGCCAACACTCCAGAAATGAGATTTGACTTCCATGAACATCTCATTCATTTCCCATCCTTACCCAAACGGCACAGAACTTGGATAGAGTAGAGACACTAAAAGAGTTTGTTGAATGATCAAATAAATTAGAAAAAGAAAGAAAGAAATTCCAACATGTAACACTATATTAGATTTATTACATTAGTATACATTCCATTGTTTTATTAGTAAGAAAGTTAGCAGAACAAAGGCCCATATCAGTGCATTTTCAATGTATCATTCCTTAGAGTAAATAAAGCCACAAGAAAGATTCACAAAGTAAAGCCAAAAGAATTCCCAAGGTATGCCTCCCCCACTGAAAGTATGAGAACACGCTTATCTTGGTACTTCTTAAAAAGGTCATGCTATCATGGCACAATGGTATAAAAGAAAAAGAAAATGGTTTATTAGTTTACTCCCCAAGAGGATTATTCTGACATTGGATTGAGTAATGAGAGGTAATGGCCTAGGCAGTACAGCCTAGGAAGGTGAAAAGGGGAAAAGGTTAGAAATGAACCACTTTATATTTTGAATGGTTCACCTTCAAAGGGGCCATGCTAATAAGTCAAACAAACATGATAACAAAAAATCAGGCAACCATGATGCAAGAGAAGCTACATCCAGAATTATGGATAAAAACTTACCACCTAGAAGGAAAATTTATTTTTTAAATGAATCCATAGTTTGAAGATAAGAGAAACACATTTCCATATGGTTAGTTCTCATGATAACAACTATCTATTTTAACAGACTTTTAACAGCATGCATTGTAAATAAGGATTAAAAAAACTCTAGTATACAAAACCTAAACAACAGACAACCCTAAGTATAAAGCATACATTTTCAAAAACAAAGCTAAGAACTAATAATCATTAAATACATGATTTTGATGATATACAGAGATTTACTTGTACTTATAATATTCTCCCTCTTATATGTAATTCTGCCACCACAGCCAAATATTAATTATGTATGACTGGCATAACTCAAGCTAATAATAAACTATTCATTTGTTTGCTGTCTCTTACTGATAAACTCTTACATTCTAGTTGCCAAAAAGAAGTATGATGCTTCATTTAATCTCTTTTCAAATATTCGAAGGAGGTATGAAGACAGAGCAAGAGCAAATCCAAGATCTGTGGTTCTGAACCTATGGGCTAAAGACACTGAGGTGCCCATGCCTAGTTGGATATCAAGCATGCTGACTTATCTGAATAAATAATAAACCTCACACCTTTATCTCCTCCTGTTTCAAATTATTGTGATTAATAAGTTACATATTTATTTGAAAGTATTATTAAAGCAATATTAGCTTTTTAAAAGGTAATTTACCTTTTAATAGAAACCAATCTCGCATCTAACAACTTCCACAGAAGTTCTATGAGATCCTCAACCTTTAAATAAGAATTGATTCTTTTTTTTTTCATTACACATTTTCTCAGTAAACAGACACTAAATGTACAACCATCATATATGGATGGGACCTCAAAATAACTCATGTGAAGAAGATCCCTCATGCTGGGACTCTCTGATTTAGACCAAAGTTATATGTGGACAAGAGCACTCAAAATTGTCTCTTTCAGCTGAAAGGTTGAGAAATTTAGTGTGAAGAAAAGAAGGGGACAGAATTGCAACTGTTATCACAAGACAGGGAAAGAGGAAAGCAGGGAAAACTTGCTTCACTGGTAAGAGAAAAGCAGAGCTCAGGACTATCCACTGATTCATCCTCCCCTTGGCAAGCTGGATGAGTTTAGATTCTGATCCTCATTTCAAGGCTCACTAGTACCTTCATTTCCATAAGATGTATTACAGCGCTATTACTCCAAAATGTCCCCTGAAAAAAATCTACATTCTTAATCTCTATCATCTCTGGACACATGTTATGCATATCAACAAGTCACTAAGTTATTCTAAATTCACCTGATGCAAACTGCAAAAGGAATTTCTTGGTTGAGTATCATGAGATTTGTGAAGGCAGCGTTAAACTGTCACTAACTACATCTCCTCTTCAGTCTTCTGAGGGTAGAACACTTCTTTCCCTTCAGTCCATCTTAATGGTCCCATAGAGCTCCATTTTGCCTTAAGGAAATTATGTGGCCTTTTGAAATAGGAGAACGAAATTGGACTGATAACTGAGTTTTAGTTCTTTTAATTGTAAGATAAATCATATAGCAAATCAAGGGATGATTTAGATTCTTTACAAGAAACCTGGTTTTCTCTCCAAAATAAATGGACTGGAGGGTATGAAAAAGTTTTTGCGCTAAATAAGTATATATTGGCCTATAATAAGCTAAAACATTCTTATTTTCTCTAATATAAATAGTTTAAGTAAATGCTAAAATTCCACATCTACAAAAGGAAAGCTTGTATAATAACTATAAATTTAAGTTTATTCTACATCTTAAATACAAGAAGAGAAAGTAATTATATCATTTTGATACTTTAACTGGTAAAAGACCAGGTGAGCTGAGAAATGTAGAAAAGGCTGAGTTCTTATGACTCACTACTGTATTTGGTGAAAACACAGTCAACATTTTCAGATCTAACTTATATCTCCTTTCCATCAGATATCAACTCTAATAGCTAACCAAAAACAAAATAAAACAAAAACAAAAACAACAAAGTAAAAGCTCAGCCTCTGCCATCTACTGGAGAAAGAAGATACAGAACACACACATTACAGACAAAACAACTCCAGACATGTACATGATATCATATTCACTTAAAACTAAGCTCTGTGCTAGCATGTAAAGTAAGTTATTTCTTCTTCCAAAGATTTATGTTTACCTAGCTGTCAAGTAGAGAATGAGAGAAAGGGCAGCAGATAATAAATATGTATGAACACAAAAGCAAAGATAAGCCCAAGACATTTTAATTTGTGTAAGACATCTTCACACACCTACACTTACATGGCCATGGAGATCTGTGTTAAGAAGCATCATTGCACAGGTGAGGCAATGGACTCCATCTAAGGGGAAAGACAAGGAAAGAAAGCATTAATTCACTATTTCCTGTTGGCCTTGTTATTATCATTAAATAGCATACACTAAGAACCTATGAAAACACAATAATGTGGCTAGGCACAATTCATCATATTTGGGGAGACAAAAAAATAGATAAAAATAAATTACTAAAGGGACTTCAGTGACAAAGTTGGACTTACTGCTGGTAAAGTATATTATTCTTACCTCTCTGGAGGGGAATTTGACAGTACACATTGTAAGCTTTGAAACAGTAATCTTTTACTTTTGACACAGTAAATCCACTTACAGGGCTTTACACTAAGGAAATAAGGATCTATACAAAATACAAGGATATCCAAAGAAACATTGCTTACAATGGGGAACAAGTAAATAAAACCCTCCAAAAATACAACTGTTATGTTTAAGTCATTAAAAATGTTGTCCAAGTATACATGTTTAAATAGAAAAATATTTCATAGTAAATTATTACATGAAAAATGCACTAAATGCAGTATAGTTCCATTTAAATATAAATATATCTAGAATAATACATAACAATATTAAAAGATTATTGTCTCCGGATAGTGAGATAATTTTTATATTTTTATTTATATTTTCTTAATTTTTTGAAACACAAGATACAGAAAATAAAATAAACCATTTTCTACTATTCCTTCTTTTTTAACTTTCTGAGAGGAAAGTAAATTAAGAAAGAAGCAAAAGTTAAAGGAAACCAAGATTTGGGTCTTTCATTGTACTGTCTGGGTATTAGTTCTCTGGCTAAAAAAGAGGAATAGTTATCCTTTTTTGTGACAATTCTTTAAAGGCAACATGTAGGCTACTGGCACAGGATACTATGGATCAGACAAAAGTAAAATATTGGAATAATCTGAAAATATTAAAAAATTAAATATTCAAAAAAAATGTTGTTCAAACCAGAAGGATCATTTCACACTTAGATGGAAACATTGCTCTCTCTTCTTACTTTATAGAGGAAAAGAAAAGGCAATAAGAATTAAGCTTCTCATTTCCAAACCTTAGAAATACTTCTCATTCTTTTCTTGCAATTCTCAATCCAAGTATAGCTGTCCATAGCAGTTGCAGATGCAGAAAAATCTTACTAATGAATGCCAAATGTACAGAAAGGCCTTTCTAATTACTGAATTCATGAATGAAAGAAAGCTTATTTGGGGGCACCTGGGTGGATCAGTCAGTTAAATGTCTGACTCTTAACTTAGGCTCAGGTCATGATCTCACAGTTTATGAGTTCGGCCAGGCATTAGGCTCTGTGCTGACAGTGTGGAGCTTGCTTAGGATCCTCTCTCTCTCCCTCTCTCTTTCAAAATAAATAAACTTTTAAAAAATCTTAAAAAACAAAAAGCTTATTTTTCAAAGTATGCCTTTGAGGATAGTAGGTGATTTCTGTTATTAATGCCTCTAAGGAGATGTTACCAAATGCCCAAAAGTATATTCATTCCACTTCCAGCTTATTATTAAATTTTAAATACATTAAAACAAATTCCTTAAAAGCATCTAGAAAACTCAGCAGCCAACTCTAAAATATCCCTATCAGTTGAGGGTACACATCCATATTCCTTCTTTCACTAAGGACTGCTAACATCTTATTAGATATGAAGAAGGTTTTAATAGAAACAACTCCCTTTTTATCCCTTTCATTCTCTACTCCGTGATTACAATAGGCCTAACTATAATCAAAGAAAGGACTAAAGGAAATTAAGTTCCCATTTTACAGAGAAGAATGTGACTTTAATGATCAGATGGTTAGTTAATTTAGCTATAGCCTGGAGGGTGGAGACCAGAGACCTGGGGAATAATCACTTTAGTCAATATCATGTACACTTAACTGGCAATACTGAAGCTCAAAGATAACTGCCATTTCTAATGCATCTAGTCCTAGTGATCTCTTCCAGAATCTGTGTTTATGAAAGATTCTCCAATTGCAAATGAAAGCACCTGACCTCAAATCATGAAAACTTTGCTTTATTGCAGGAGTTGACATGGAGGAAAAACCTCTCTTGATAGGATACATCAACAATTAAATTGCTTAAACTTGCTTTTTAAAATTAGTACAATAAACATAAACTCATAGTTCATTAAAATCATAAATCAAATTCAGTGGTCAGTGTTGTTACAATGAATATCAAACCAAAGCACTGGAGACACACCACAAACTCCAGTGAGATTTGTAAACGTTTCCAGAAGTAACCACAAAATTAATAAGCATACATGCAAGGGGTTTAGGGTCAGATGTATAGGAAGAAGAAATAAGAAAACTAGCATTTCATTAAAATGTGCTTTGCATGTAAAATCTCAGAGTGACAGCATGAGCAACTTAAAGCATCCTGTCATAGTATGGAACTGGAAAACTAAGTAAAAATTAATTAAAAGAAGAATAAGGAATATCATGCAGTCATTACATATCATGCTTTTTAAAGAATATTTAATGACATGAGAAAACGCTCAAATGAAAACGAAGGACAACAGGAAACAAAACTCTGTAATGATTCCAATTTGACATTAAATATTTCACAAACTGACTGGAAGGAAATAGATCAAGCAGTTAATAATAGTTATCTCTAGATAACTAGATGATTTTCATTTTCTTCTGTATAATCTTCCATATTTTCCACAATAAAATATAACTTTAATAATGAGAAAAATAGCCCTTGTTTTTTGAAATACAAACATTTCCATCAGATTACCTTGTGAAGCAATAGTGTCTGGGTTACAGTAAAAATATCTATTGGAGAAATGTATTAAAACTCTCTCTCGTTCTTGAGTTTCTCCCACAAGAGAAAATGCTTTAAAGAAATACCTAAAAAAGAATTAGGGGGAAAAAAGTGAAACTTTAGAAAACATTACCATACTCTTTATGTTTGACAATTAAAATTACTTCATATAGGGGTGCCTGGGTGGCTCAGTTGGTTAAGCATCCAACTGTCTCTTATTTTGAGTTTATTATCTCAAAAATAAACATTTTAAAAAATTAAAATAAAATTAATTCGTATATAATAAGAAATTAATTTGGGGTGCCTGGGTGGCTTAGTCTGTTAAGTGTCCATTTCTTGATTTCAGCTCAAGTAATGATCTCATGATCCGTAACACTGAACCCCACACCGGGCTCTGCACTGATAGCACAGAGCCTGCTTGGGATTCTCTCTCTGACCCTCCCCTGCTAGCTCTCTCTCTGTCTCAAATAAGTATACAAATAAAGAGAAATTAATTATATGAAGATATTCTACAGTTATTCTTTTATAAAATCACTTACTATATAGCCATTCAATATAAATTTATTTTATTCTATAAAATGTCAATATAAAGATGGACAAGGCAATAACAATACCACCTTGGGAAGGTGGTAACTTCCCATGACTAAATGACAAATAGCCATTTAAAAGATCAGTCAGATAAAAACCAAAGAACACTTAAGGCTGAACCTACAACCATGAAGGCTATGTTTTAAAACTGTACATGGATCACAGTTTATCATTTTGCTATATGATTATACTTGTCATTGACACATTGTTAAAATTACAATTATATTATTTTGTGTATAGTAGATTTCTCTTATTTTATTTTGCCTATTATCATATTATATTATTACCTTTTATATGGGAAGGAAATTGGGAGCTAAAACTATAAATTATTTCTTGGGTTAGGAATAAATTAATGTATGTATAAAAATTCTTTGAAAAATAAAAATATGCCCAGAACTACACACCAATCTAAATCTGAGTCACTAAGAGTACTGTCTATTATGGATAAACTCAGATGACCCTCACTAGACAAAGCACTTCCCTAAGTATGAGATGAATAGAAAAAAAAATCCTTTAAAATGTTCTAAAAAGTCTTACTGTGGAAACATACATAAAACCTTATTTCTATGATGAAAATGTTGCTGTCTTAGTTTGTTAAATCTAAATTACACTGACCAAACTTTAATTTTTCATAACTTTTATAAACCACATCAGAAAGTAAAGCATAAATATAGATCTTTCCTCTGCCTTTATTTGTTTTCAGTGGAAAAACCTATGAGTGCCATTGATTCATGCAAAGTGCCACAGAATAAGTCACTGTTGTGCATTCTAATCCAAACATCCTCACTTCACCTCCCAAGGCACAGTTTCCTGATTTATAAAACTAGAGGGTTACACAGATGATCTCAGAATTCCTCCAACCTCTGACATGTTAAAAAGTTTATAAGAGTAAATGCTGACTAAGTTTTACTTTTAGCAGTGGCTCTTAGAAATTTACAATACAATAGTGGTGTGAAAAGTGAGGATCAGTGTGTTTATGACACTATTTTGAAAGGATCAGCAAAAAGTGCTGAAACAGTTTTGCAGATATTTTCTGATTATTATGTGGATAGTCGTTTTTATTCCATTCATGAGTTAATACCAAAGTATCACCTTAAAAGGCTACTTGGCTATTGTAAACAAATGCTTAGGGAAAAAAATGTATAGTTCTACAGCCTGTAAAACTGCCTTTTTTTAAATTGATCATTCAAAAACCAAGTTCCCACAGATTCTACTCCTCCTTGAGACTTACTTTGTCACTACTCTTTACCACATCATCTGCTAGATGCAAAATATGAGTTCATATATGATTTCATAAAAACAATATATTTTTCTTTCTGCTATGTTTAATAACTATAGAATAATCTGAGCTAAGATTACAAAGTCACTATGGGTTTTAAAAAAATTAAAAATCACACTTTAGCTTCAGCATTACTTCTCTTCTCAGAATTAATTTTTGGAGGCAAAAAAGAACAGAAGTGATATTTAATCATACCTGAGAGACTGATCCAGTGTCATTCCTGTAAAATCAAAAAACTTCAGATATTCTTCTGCAACTAGTTTGCTAAATTCATTGCTATAAGAAAACAGGATAGACTCTGTTATTAAAGTTGAAGCTATTAAACAAGACAACACACACGGACACATTCAGACACCAGCCTTGGTACAGAACGTACTTCTTGCCTAGGTGCTTTGCGACATCCGATCTTTTGAATCTGTCTAGTTGATAAAGGCGTTTGGCCAACCTTTTGGCTGCTTCTATGTTGCTGCTGGTACCATTACTGAGACTTTCTGAGGTCTCCTTTTCCAGAATTTCAGTGCTTCCCATCTCAGAATGAGTCTCTAGTAGTGCTGTTTTTACCCCAGCATTGCTGTGAGAATTGATAAAGAAAAAAATTAAAAAGATTTTTCTTATGTGACAAAAAAAGGAAAACAGCTGATGAAATTATCATATTGTAGCAATAAATGAAAAACTTTTAAATGGGATAGTTTTAGGCTTAATTATTCATAAAACTATTTACAGCAATATATTTCAATGTACTGAAGAAGTGATTGCTTAAACCCCTTATGAGCAGTTAGGACCTTTACATTTTTAAAAATACAGAGGACTCTAGTTACCTTCATGTTTCTGTGAGTTGTATCTATTGATATCCACTGTATAAGTAATTAAAAAAGAAAATTTTCAAATATTAATTCACTTAAAAATAATAAACCCATTTCATGTCATGCCTGGGTGGCTCAGTCGGTTGAGCATCTGACTTCGACTCAGGTCATGATCTCATGGTCTGTGAGTTCGAGCCCCACGTTGGGCTCTGTGTTGGCAGCTCAGAGCCTGGAGCCTGCTTCAGATTCTGTGTCTGCCTCGCTCTCTGCCCCTACCCCACTCATGCGCGCGCGCGCTCTCTCTCTCTCTCTCTCTGTCAAAATAAATAAACATTAAAAAAAAAGTAAAAAAAATAATAAACCCATTTCAATGATATAAATATTTTATTAAAAATAATTTTCCAAAATAATAACATTAAATTTAATGAGAAAAGCAATAATTATTTCCATTTTTTACATATTTCTTTCATAGTTGGCTTACTAGAAGACAGCTGGATTCTCACTGCCACTTCTATATTTAATTTGTAAACAATAATATTGTTTTGGTTGAAATATATTAAGAAAATCCAGGGATACCTGGGTGGCTCAGTTGGTTAAGCATCCAACTCTGGATTTTGGCTTAGGTCATGATCTCCTGGTTCATGATATTAAGCCCTGCACTGGGCTCTGTGCTGGCAGTGTAGAGCCTGCTTGAGATTCTCTCTCTCTCTCTCCCTCTCCCTCTCTCTCTCTGCCCCTCCCCTGCTCTCTCATGCTGACTCTCTCTCAAAATAAATAAATAAACCTTAAAAAAAAAAAAGAAAGAAAATCCAGCTTATTAGTTAGAAAAATAAGAAGTATTTTAATCTTTTACAGATAATTATATTCTTTTTTTTTTATAGGACACCAAAATAAAACAAGGGATAGTTTCTTAAATGTTAGTTGCAATAAAGTATCAATTAACCTTTTGTACTCACATTAAAATTTGTCTTACACTTTACTTTTTCTTAAGATTTTATTTTTAAGTAATCTCTACACTCAACATGGGGCTCAAACTCATGACTCCAAGATCAAAAGTCACATGCTCCAGTGACTGAGCCAGCCAGGTGCCCCTGTCTTACACTTTAAATGGATCTTTTACCCAGGCATGATTCTGAATCATACATTGGTCATTTGCAAAATATGTTACACATTTCACTATATAATACTTTTAAAAGTTACATTTATTAAATGCCATGATTATCTTCAGAGAAGTCTTCAAGTATTGAAAAGATATCAAAGTTTTGGTGGCAGACAGAAATATTTCAAAATTCTAATTTTTGATTGAAAGCTCAAATTGTACTGTTGGCAACAAATATAGTCAGTAGTTTTCTTAAAGTATTAATAGACTCACTCTATCAATTTTTGAGAAAATGTTTGCCAATAATCATAGTTTTTCAGTTACACTTTGAAGGAAAACTGGCATTTCACAAAAAGCAACTAGTTTGTAACTCACAACTTAATTACATGTAAGGCTGTCCGAAGGAAAACCATCAGGAGAAGTGCTTTATGCATATTTTCCATTTCATCACATGTGAAAATAAAAAGGAATGGCTAAAATTAACATCACAGGAAACAAGAGATGTTGACAAAGATATGGGGCAAGGGGAACCCTCTTGTACTGTTGGTGGGAATGCAAATTCGTGCGGCCACTCTGGAAAAAATAGAACTAAACTACAACCCATCAATTGCACTACTAGGTACTTACCCAAAGGATAAAAAAAATACTGATTTGATAGGTCACATGCATCCAGTGTTTATAGCAACATTATCAACAGCCAAATTATGGAACGAGCCCAAATGTCCATTGACTGATGAATGGATAAATAAGATGTGGTATGTATATAGAGTGGAATATTACTCAGCCATCAAAAAGAATGAAACCTTGCTGTATGCAATGGTATGGATGGAGTGTATTATGCTAAAGTGAAATAAGTCAGTCTGAGAAAGACAAATCCCGTAAGATTTCACTCATACGTGGAATTTAAGAAACAAAATAGATGAACATAAAAGAAAAAAAAGAGAGGGAGGCAAACCAAAAAACAAATTCTTAACTATAGAGAACAAACTGAGGGTTGCTGTAAGGGAGGCAGATAGGGGGATGGCCTTAGGTGATGGGGATTAAGGAGGGCACTTGGGATGAGCACTGGGTGTTATATGTAAGTGATTAATCACTAAGTTCTACTCCTGAAACCATTACTATACTATGTGTTAACTAGAATTTAAATAAAAACTTGAAACAAACAAAAAAGTTATGTACAAAATGGTTAAAATGTAATTATTTTGTACTGCTTTATAAAGGAATTTTTAGGTGAGTTTTGTTTCTTTGAGTACATGGTAATGAAGAATATAATAACAACTTGGAAAGTTTGGTGCCACTACCTTTGTGTTAGAGGCCCTCCCTAAGGAATGTGGTGAAAACCTCAAGACTAGGAAAGGCAACCTGGCTATGTGTGTGTGGGGGTGACATTCCTCAAGACTCTGTAACATAGACCGCCCATGCAGACTGTATTTTACCATATATGGGAAAGAAAGGAGCAAAACTTGTACAAAAAGCAACCCCCCACTGCATTTGGGGCTCAGCCTTTTGGGTCTTAGCCCATTGAGCCCGTGCTGGCATCAATAAAGCTGCTTCCTAGAAAGAAAAGCCTGGGTGTCCCGACTCTCTGTGTGTGACTCACTGCTACACCTTGATTTGTGCTAAAGCCCCCTCCATTGTTTTCGTACCATCAGTGTAAATATCAATACAGTGAAAAAGGAAAATAATGCTGTACTCCTATTATAAAATAGCTTTGACCTCATTAACCTCCTGAAAGAGTCACAATAAGCCCCACTGACCACACTGTAAGAACCTCTGCTCTAGAAAGGGGTCACAAATTAGAACCTGGCTATAGAATGCTACATAATGCATTTGTATAGCAACACTAAACCAACAAGAATATAGTAACTTCCAAATCCTCACTTTAACTTGGAAAATAGGCAAAGATGTGTTCATGATAAACAACTATGCTTACGTAGCCTTCCAATGTACTTACCACAGACCCTAAACCTGACACAGTCAGAATTTTTCTGTAATGAACCAGACAGTAAATATTTCAGACAAGGCCTCATAACGTCTCTGTCATACATGCTTCTTTCTTTTTGTTGTTTTTTTCTTTTTTTTCTTCAACCTTTCAAAACTTAAAAGCCATTCTAGGCTAGGCTGAACAGGCTCACAGGCCTAATTTTGTGTGTTTTTGCTCTATCCCATAGTTCTTTAACTTAGCCTGAATTATAAGTAACCATTTATTGTCTAAATCAGGACACTCTGAAGAAGGAACAGGGATAATAAAATCATTAAATATGTAATTATAATTGTTATGAAGTTTGAAAGAGTCATTGCCAATAAAAAATTAGTTGTAAACTTACAGCATACAATAAATGACAAAAATCATTATAGCAAAAATGAATAGATTTTTAAGCAAAATTGCTCAATCTCTATTTTTGTCACTTATTCTACCTAACTTACAATATCCCATTTCCTACTACCAACTAGCTAAGTGGCAGCCTCGCAGATTCATGTTCACTATCACTCAAAGGCAGTTCCAGCCACTGCACACCAAGTAGCTCCTAATGGCTGTGCAGTCCCAGACCTCCCTAACCACTGACAGACCTGAGGGAATTCAATGCCCCTTGCAACTCCTCTCCAAGCTCCCTTATCAGCAAGTCTTCCACATGCTGTCCTTGAAAGTCAGTGACATGGGGAGGGATAAAGAGAGAGGTTATCCCACTTTGTCTTTTAGACTCAACTATGTGAAAATGATGAGGGAGCATAAGGCAAACTGACAGTCCCAAATACTCCCTACTCCCAGGTGGGGTATGTTTACTATTCCTTAGGCACTCCTGGCTGCCCAAGAACAAAGGAAAAGGGGAAAAGTAAATGGTTAACTGATAGAGATCACAGTCATGCAGGACATGGGTCTCCATCAATTTACAAATATCTTAGTAAATTACAAGAAAAAGTCAGTCTTATCAACAGCCTAATCTCCAGAAACCTATAGATTCACTCAGTTTCCTGGAGCCCCAACATCACTTCTCCATAGTGATGTGGGAAACAAAGGCAGAAGGAAATGGCAGATAAAATTAAATTTCCTTATAACCTGAAGCCCACTGACAACTACTTGAGGCTAGCAGAGTAAAACATTTCTCCAGGAGCTCCCAACGTCTTATTGTTAATGCTTTGTTGAGGGAAAAACAACCTTAACTTGCCAATAGCGAGGCCTCCAGTACCCTGTGAGGCTTCTTTAATATGAAAAGCTCTTGGAAACTTCCACTTGATTTTTACCTTCCCTCAACTCCCAAGTATATAACCAGTCTGTCCTCATGGTCCCTGGAAGCTCTTCCTGCCCAGGGGTCCTGTCCCTTACTTTAATTAAATTACCTTTTTTGCACCAAAGACGTCTTCAAGAATTCTTTCTTGGCCATCAGTTACGAACCCCACAAACCCCACCATCACCCCAAAAACTCATCAGAAATTCTGTTCAATGCACATTTCAACTTCACACATTCCAGAGGAAACTGCAGAGAAGCTACAAGTACCAAGCGGAAGCTTATCAAACCCAGATTGACTTCATTTTTTAAAGTCAAACTAAAATGTTAAACCACAGTCAATGCCAGGACAACACACAAACTGGAATTGCTCTAGGCAAACTAAATGTTTGATAATGCTTCTTTAAACAATTAGCCACCTTAAACAGTTTTCCAACAGAAG